CAGGTATGTTAGCGACCTCTGACCTCGTGTTTTTGCCAGCATGAAAGTTGACCCCGTGTAAACCCCTGCTCTTCGGTAGCCTTTCCCATATGGCTTTGAAGTCCACTCATGGTTTTTCCCATGGTCCCCCTTCCTCCAATCAGATTCTCAGTGGTGGAGAGGCGGGTTTGCACACTGGAGGAATGGAGTCTGAAGTTTCAAACTAGCACTTGAGTCGTCTTTATCATCGTGGGCTAATAAAAGCGCAAGCACTGTCCGTGTCAGATGAGCCGGGGCACCGGGCGGCTGTCACTCTCTCCTCTGCTGAGCAGACAGCCATAGACGTCAGTGCCGTCATACCTTCATACAGCTTTATATTACATAGACCCCCACTGCGTCTCCATTTCAGAGCGCCTCTCGCTCTTACCTAAGCGCGGCCCATAATCAGCGCTGAAGTGCACGGAGAAGGTGACTCATTATAGCAGGCCGCAGCCGTTAAACCAGCTCTATTAAATCAGCCTGCGCGAGTCCCGCTGGGGGCTAGCGGTGCATTGTAAGAAGATGATGTACAAGACTTAATGTGGATGTGAAGAAAAAGGCACTATTCTGACATGCATAAAGCACTCTAATTTGCTGCCTGAATGATAGTAATCAAACGGCGTTTGGTTATCCGTCATTCCTTGAAGTTCTATTTATTTATGCATTTGATTTTATTTCCATGATTTTCTTTCTAGCGAGGCATTTCTGAGTATTTTTCCATTTCTGCTCTCCAGGGGAGTCGTGCATATCTTCATCTAGAAGAGAGTTCAGATCTCTGAGTCATCAAAACGGAGCGCCAGCATTGTGATTGAACTGAACAAAAACAGGATTCTGGGTAAAAAAAGAAACACCACACAAGCACAAAAGCCAACTTATGAATCACACACATTAATCTGCAAATTTATGACTCACTGGCTTTTTTGAGGAAGGGAAAACATGAGCGAAGTTTTATGGCACAGAGCTGTTTTAAAACTAAACACAAGGTCATTTGAGCAAATGGTTTAATTTTAATAATGGCACTTTAAGCATAGCAGGCCAAAAAGGTATTTGGAGGAGTGTTATTTTGGTATTATTTATATACTAATATAGATTTTAATAATATTTTGAATAATATTTTCAGGTTTTTTTATTATTTTTTTGTTTGCTATTTAGATCATTTATTATTTATTTAATAATTTTATTTAGTTCTTTATTTTTTATTATTTCAGTTTCTTTCAGTGTTTATTTATTTCCAGTTAGTAATTTTAGTGCCTAAACTTATTTCAGTTTGTAGCTAAGGCAACATTTCTCATTTTCGTCTAGTTTTACGTTTTTCATCTAGTGTTTTGTATTTTATCAGCTTTATTTACAATTAACAAAAATGTTTTTAATAGTTTTAGTTTTAGTTAACAATAATAACCCTTATTTGGAGACTGAAGTCACACTTTAAAAAGTATGAATGTCATAGTATTAAATAACAAACTATTTTACATATTTATTTTTAAAATGTATCATTTAAATGTATATCTATATATATTATATAATATATAATATATATAATATATATTATATATTATATAATATATATAGATATATATATTATATAATATATGAAAATGTATAATATATAACGTATAACATACATTTTAAAAGTGGTGCAATATTGGTAATTTGTTATTGAATGCAATGATATTCTTAAATTCATTTTTAAGTGTGACTTAAGTGTTTAAATAAATTTGGAGTCAATAGCCACCATATATTTCAATGCAGAAGTAAGCTATTTTCTTTGTACAAGACTTCCAATTCATTAGCTGCTATAGGTAAACAACTAGAAGAATAACAAAGTGCAGTAGACGGTAAAACTGTTTGCATGACAAACCTGTGTGTTTATAATTATGATAATATTTAAATAGTATTATAAGAAATACCAGTTGGCAATATCAAGCAGCATAATGAGCTTTTTTGAACAGCTCATTCAAAAAATGCTGCACGTTATACGTTAAAAATACTTAGTCACTTCATGTGTTTTGATCAATTGCTATCTGATTGGATATGCACATTCTATTTACACTTGGCTATGTAAATGTGTCTCCGCAGAACAGATATAAATCCAACCTTCCCACACTATTTGCAAATATAACAGAGTTCACTTCCGTGATGATGCTAATGCTGGGCAACAAAATTCTCTGTTAAACGCCCTCTTCAGCTCATATGGCAATTAATGTTTTAAGTTTTTTTTAGTTGCTCCATCCATGTGTCTCATCCACGTGTCCCAAACTTCTGTATACTGATGCTGTTTTGTTTGGGAGGAGTAAAGTTTACATATGCGGCCTGAACAAGCAGATGCATTTACACTTGGCTGAGTTGCTTCTTTGTATGTATTTGAAACCAGCTCCTGAGGGAGTCTGAGGGATCAGATTACTATACATCTCAAATGGGTCTTTGAGGGCATTTACACTTGGTACTTGGTATAGTTACTACTTAACTATACAATGAGTAAAGATGCAGTGACCAGGTGTGAAACCCCCATAATATAGGTTTACATCAGTTTTTTTGTTGATGTTTAGGCGTATATCCAAAGGCCGGGGGAAAATACAGAAGATGGGGAGAGAGCAAGTGCCTTTCAAACAATAATCTACGCGGGAAAGAGAGGACAAGAGACATGGGGGATGGGTCTGCGAGTCTTTTATCTCAAGTTTCCCACATCCTGCCGCCGAGTTTAAAACCGGCCACCCAACTTGAAAGAATGCCTGGTATGCACCTCATTTCCATAGCATCCGGCATTGTTCTCGGCCTGTTGCCCGCCAATAGGAGAAACAAAAAACTTTGCACGCTAATTTGAGATTAATGAGGTAATGCAGTGCATGCGGTCTTCATATGCACTTTGTAGACCTACTTCACATGACTGGAACAAAAACAAAAGTGCTGTCCATTGGGATGATGACGCATTTCTACAGAAAAGGAAAACGTGGCTTGCATTACACTGCAGAATACTTTTTACATGTTGTTTCTTCCTCTTTGAACATGTGAACTGATTGTGTTCCTTGAATGCAATATACAAGGAAAACTTTAAAGTTGCACATTTGTGACCCTGGACCACAAAACCAGTCTTAAGTAGCATGGTTATATTTGTAGCAATATCCAACAATACATTGTATGGGTCAAAATTATCGATTTTTCTTTTATGCCAAAAACCATTAGGATAGTAAGTAAAAATCATGTTCCATGAAAATATTTTGTAAATTCCCTACCGTAAATATCAAAACGTATTTTTTGATTAGCAATATGCATTGCTAAGAACTTAATTTGGACAACTTTAAAGGCGATTTTCTCAATTAGATTTTTATTTTTTTTTTTGCACCCTCAGATTCCAGTTTTTTAAATAGTTGTATCTGTCTAACAACCCATACATGAATGGAAAGCTTATTTATTCAGCTTTCAGATGATGTATATAAATCTCGATTTCAAAAAATGTACCCTTATGACTGGTTTTGTGGTCCAGGTTCAAATGTACTATTATATTGTCACTGTACTAAAGTCAGTTTCTTTCGATCTATCTGTCTATACCTAAAAAATACATATTTTATATTATATAAGTGTATATATATGTATATAATATGCATTTGTACATATTAATATGTATGTATGAAGCATGCATCTATTTTGTAGTACTCTTCATACTTCTCTGAAATAATACTCCGAATCTGCAATGGGGGCTTTGTTATACACTCAGCCATGGCCCATGTGAATCATTCTCCGCCACGCCGGTTAAACGCCCTCAAAAAAAAAAAGCCTCGACTATTTGGCGCGTTTTGATTCCCGCCACGTCTACGTTTTCTTTTATTTTCATATTTGTTTGCCTTTTTTCTGCAGAGGCAGGCGCATTACTCATTGGCTGAATCGTGTTTGTGGGCGAGGCCACCGTTGACGTACTAGTAGCCACGCCTCTCTTTTACTACTGGTATATAACGGCTCTTGCCCCTCCCTCACGATTTAGAAAGCCGGGTGTTTGTGTCCGTAGAGCACCTCAGACAATAATATTTATCTTCGAAATATATTATTCGTTTGTTTATTTAATTTCATATTCTAAACTGGAATAGACCTTGTGCGGTCGTTTAAAGTTCGTCTTGAGAATCAAAACCCATCGAGCCTCGATGAGAAGGGATTTCTACAGGCTTCTAGACCGGATCCCTCAAGTAGACCTTCCCTACATCCATCTCTACACGACGGATTTCGGCCTCAACATTGGAATAACCCTCAAGAAATACTCGCCTTTCGGATTATAAAATGCTTCTATCAAAATTCAACACATTCGCTCACATTTCCACCGTGGACATGCCGGCGAAAATCCAGCTTCAAGGTTAGAGGACGGTTATTCTCGCGTGTCTCTGTGTGTGTGTGTGTGTGTGTGTGTGTGTGTGTGTGTGTGTGTGTTGTTGTGGTCTTGGGCTAGTTCACGTCAGCAGACTGAGTGTTGGGAATAGCGCGTGCGTCAGATTTCCAATTATTAAATAATTGTACGTCTTTTATCAATTCTTACGAATCTATCGTATCTTTTATCGACAGTTAAGGAGAAAGAGCCGTTCGAGAAGGTGTATCAGGTCGGCTCTGTGCTGGGAAGCGGCGGTTTTGGGACGGTGTATGCGGGTTTGAGGATCGCAGATGGCGCGCCGGTAGGTTCCTGAATGGAGTATTTTTGTTTACATAAGTGTGAACGTTTAGAATGTTCATAACGTGTGTGTATAACATATATAAAAACAATGCAAATATAATGTCATCCACTGCTTAATAATGCATCTATTTACAATTTTTAGGTTGCCATCAAGCATGTGGCAAAAGATCGTGTTACTGAATGGGGAGAGCTGGTGAGTACTTAATTAAAAGGATTGTATTCATATTATTTGTATCTAAAATATCGCACATAAATAATAAATGACAGCGTCACTAAAACGAACATGTCCTCCGTTTCCAGCCCAATGGCGCGCGCGTCCCTATGGAGATCGTCCTGTTAAAGAAGGTCGGCACCGGATTCCGTGGCGTGATCAAGATGCTGGACTGGTACGAGCGACTGGACAGCTTCATTATCGTCATGGAAAGACCGGAGACCGTCAAGGACTTGTTTGATTTCATCACGGAGAAGGGCGCGTTACCGGAGGAGCTCGCCAGGAACTTTTTCCGCCAGGTCCTGGAAGCGGTGCGTCATTGCCACAACAACGGCGTCGTTCACCGTGACATCAAGGACGAGAATATTCTCATCGATCTGCGAACCGGTGATCTGAAGCTCATCGACTTTGGATCGGGGTCATTACTCAAAGACACCGTCTACACCGATTTCGACGGTAAGAGCCATTTGCATGACCTTCAAGCCAGGGTTCCCACGGTCACGGAAAACGTGGCGGGAGCGGGGGAAATTAAAATGCGTGCTTATCTAGCCTCATGGAAATTTGTGTCGGGGATATAAATGTTTATTTAAAAAATAAATCTGTAAACATTAGTACGACTTTGTGAGGGGGACAGTTTATAAACAAACCAAGATTATAGGCTAGAAATTGCTTAATGTATTTTTAAATACGCTTAGACGGTGAAATTCGATGGTTGTAAGGTTTGGAAATCCTGTCAAGCTCTAAGAAGGGTGTATGTTTATATATTGAGGCGATGCTTTTACGTTTTAAAACGAGTGTATCAAACATATCTGGCATTAATCACTTGATAAATGTATTATGACCCCCTTTCATCGTTGACTAGCCATTAATAAATCGCTCGGCGTGATGATTTGTTTATTTTTGTATTATGTTGCTTTGGGGGAAAGGCATTTCGCTTGGTTGTGGATTTGGCGCCCCCGCTGGTGGGGAATGGAATTATTACAACTCAAAGTTTGTAAACACAAGTCACATGGCAACCAGTTTCTCCACATGTGAGCGCCTGCCGTCACACTCCCGAGCACATGACTGTGCACATTAATGCTGCACCATAACAATAATGTTCAAGCACGACACACCTTTTTCCTGCTGCACCTTTTACTACAGTGTTTGGTTTAGTGTTTGGTAGTATCAGGTACTAAAATAAAGACTTGTATGCGGTTTTATTGCATTTGTTGGGTTTCGGTGTTTCAGAATCATGAATTTAAATGCATTTTTCTGTTTTCTGTGCTCTCTTCAGGTACACGTGTTTACAGTCCACCAGAGTGGATCAAATTTCACCGCTACCACGGTAGATCTGCGACCGTGTGGTCTCTGGGCATCCTGCTGTATGACATGGTGTGTGGGGACATCCCGTTCGAGCAGGACGAAGAGATTGTACCGACGGATTTCGGCCTCAACATTGGAATAACCCTCAAGAAATACTCGCCTTTCGGATTATAAAATGCTTCTATCAAAATTCAACACATTCGCTCACATTTCCACCGTGGACATGCCGGCGAAAATCCAGCTTCAAGGTTAGAGGACGGTTATTCTCGCGTGTCTCTGTGTGTGTGTGTGTGTGTGTGTGTGTGTGTGTGTGTGTGTGTGTTGTTGTGGTCTTGGGCTAGTTCACGTCAGCAGACTGAGTGTTGGGAATAGCGCGTGCGTCAGATTTCCAATTATTAAATAATTGTACGTCTTTTATCAATTCTTACGAATCTATCGTATCTTTTATCGACAGTTAAGGAGAAAGAGCCGTTCGAGAAGGTGTATCAGGTCGGCTCTGTGCTGGGAAGCGGCGGTTTTGGGACGGTGTATGCGGGTTTGAGGATCGCAGATGGCGCGCCGGTAGGTTCCTGAATGGAGTATTTTTGTTTACATAAGTGTGAACGTTTAGAATGTTCATAACGTGTGTGTATAACATATATAAAAACAATGCAAATATAATGTCATCCACTGCTTAATAATGCATCTATTTACAATTTTTAGGTTGCCATCAAGCATGTGGCAAAAGATCGTGTTACTGAATGGGGAGAGCTGGTGAGTACTTAATTAAAAGGATTGTATTCATATTATTTGTATCTAAAATATCGCACATAAATAATAAATGACAGCGTCACTAAAACGAACATGTCCTCCGTTTCCAGCCCAATGGCGCGCGCGTCCCTATGGAGATCGTCCTGTTAAAGAAGGTCGGCACCGGATTCCGTGGCGTGATCAAGATGCTGGACTGGTACGAGCGACTGGACAGCTTCATTATCGTCATGGAAAGACCGGAGACCGTCAAGGACTTGTTTGATTTCATCACGGAGAAGGGCGCGTTACCGGAGGAGCTCGCCAGGAACTTTTTCCGCCAGGTCCTGGAAGCGGTGCGTCATTGCCACAACAACGGCGTCGTTCACCGTGACATCAAGGACGAGAATATTCTCATCGATCTGCGAACCGGTGATCTGAAGCTCATCGACTTTGGATCGGGGTCATTACTCAAAGACACCGTCTACACCGATTTCGACGGTAAGAGCCATTTGCATGACCTTCAAGCCAGGGTTCCCACGGTCACGGAAAACGTGGCGGGAGCGGGGGAAATTAAAATGCGTGCTTATCTAGCCTCATGGAAATTTGTGTCGGGGATATAAATGTTTATTTAAAAAATAAATCTGTAAACATTAGTACGACTTTGTGAGGGGGACAGTTTATAAACAAACCAAGATTATAGGCTAGAAATTGCTTAATGTATTTTTAAATACGCTTAGACGGTGAAATTCGATGGTTGTAAGGTTTGGAAATCCTGTCAAGCTCTAAGAAGGGTGTATGTTTATATATTGAGGCGATGCTTTTACGTTTTAAAACGAGTGTATCAAACATATCTGGCATTAATCACTTGATAAATGTATTATGACCCCCTTTCATCGTTGACTAGCCATTAATAAATCGCTCGGCGTGATGATTTGTTTATTTTTGTATTATGTTGCTTTGGGGGAAAGGCATTTCGCTTGGTTGTGGATTTGGCGCCCCCGCTGGTGGGAAATGGAATTATTACAACTCAAAGTTTGTAAACACAAGTCACATGGCAACCAGTTTCTCCACATGTGAGCGCCTGCCGTCACACTCCCGAGCACATGACTGTGCACATTAATGCTGCACCATAACAATAATGTTCAAGCACGACACACCTTTTTCCTGCTGCACCTTTTACTACAGTGTTTGGTTTAGTGTTTGGTAGTATCAGGTACTAAAATAAAGACTTGTATGCGGTTTTATTGCATTTGTTGGGTTTCGGTGTTTCAGAATCATGAATTTAAATGCATTTTTCTGTTTTCTGTGCTCTCTTCAGGTACACGTGTTTACAGTCCACCAGAGTGGATCAAATTTCACCGCTACCACGGTAGATCTGCGACCGTGTGGTCTCTGGGCATCCTGCTGTATGACATGGTGTGTGGGGACATCCCGTTCGAGCAGGACGAAGAGATTGTACGCGGACAGGTGCTGTTCAGGCGGAGAATCTCCACGGGTAAGACTCACAGATCACATGACGCCACCTTCTAGGAGGTTTATGCGTTTATTGCAGGGCTATAATCGCACATCCTGTTGTTTTACAGAGTGCCAGCAGCTTATCAAGTGGTGCCTGGCCCTCCGCCCCGCGGAACGCCCGTCTTTCGAGGACATCATCAACCACCCTTGGATGCAGAACACAGCGCCCCCTACGGACAACACTGAGATCAGACTGCACAGCATCAGCCCGCTGCTTTCCCAGCAGTCACTGTGCAAATGACTCTATCTGAAGGCATACGTAGAGACTTTCCATAAGCGCAGCAAACCACCCAGGGGACCTGCGGACTGAGCAGTGCAAAAAACACACACACAAAAAAAACACATGTTGTTCTTTTGTTTTGAGCATTGCTGCTAGGCGGGAGTTCTAGGCTAGGCCAAAGAAGGGAGAGGTCCACCTTTTAGTGAGATCTGTTTTCTCTCGTCTCCTGCCCCCCTGTGGCTCAGGGTCCCATAAGTCTGGCTCGTAGTAACCAAATGACTGTCAACACTGCTGTCGGACACTGGTAGATTGAGAAGCCTATCTCAGCCAGTGTAGGGAGGAGCTCGTGGACACCCGATGCAGCGGCCACAAGGAGTCGTGCTGCGATGAGGGCCGATCTGCGGCTTTGGTGCACCGTCAGGGCTGTTCCTTTAGGAAGCAGATCAGCCGAGCTTAATAATTTTAGTGCCTTCTGTGCAAGATCAAGTGTTTGATTTGTTTAGTTTTTTTGGAAATACTTGAATTGAGTAATAGCCACTGTAACACTCTACTCCTTAACCAGATGTCTTTTTTTTACCTTCTTGCTTCCACTTTACCTGCTCCTGACAGGTAACTGTCGGTCTTACTCTAATACGTCAGAGAGAGTAACCAAATCGACCTCACAAACCTCTGCAGAATGAAAAGTCTTACCTCACTCTTTCAAACCGCTGTTTCTTTTCCCTCTTCCTTTGTACTGAGTAACCCTCAACAACTATCACTCATTGTCACAGATGCACAAAGCAATGCAACTACGACGTAAAAGACTACATTTTCTGCATATTATTTTTGTTTATATTGTAAATAGCTCAGTCAGATGACTCAATTCCATGATGAGGCTTGTGTAAATTATATTTATTGGAGTGTCTTAAAACAAAAAAAACACGAGATGGAAGTGGAAGTATTTATTTATTTATTTATAGAGAAGCAATTTTCTGCAAAGTTTTTCTCATTCCACCACCGAAGGGCCCACAAATTATTTAAATGTATTTTTACCATATTTAAAGCCTTTTTTTGAGAACGATATGTACATATGTTGTAAATAATCTTCGAAGCACTTCTGTTTCTCGATGCATGGAGCACTGCTGATGGTAAACCATACCAGTCTGAAGTCGTGTTTGTCACCTAATTTAAACTGTCTGCTGTGCATATGTTGGAGGATATGACCTCATGAATGTTTGAGGAACGAGTGATTTTACATGGTTTCTTTTTCACCTTTAGTAGGCATGATTGCAACTCGGATTTTGTTTTTCTGATTTAACAATGTAAATTATGTTTAGAAAGCTGTTTTTTTACACAATTGTCAATAAATATTTTTTTAACATTCATTCTGGTTTCCTGGGTATGATTTGCTTTGTTTGGCTCACTACAGTAATATCAGTCAGTGGTCTTTAAACAGACAATCAGCAGATGTCATTTGAGAAGTAGCGATGGACAGATTGCAGTGGTATTAGCTGTAAATCCATTTAACTAACTTTAATAACGCTCTTACCGTTTTATATTGATAGTGTATCTTTAATCTGAGGCGATTAGGACCACAGGGGTCCAGATTTCTTAATGCTGGACTCCTGAACCGGATACATGCGATAGCTAACAGCATATACTTTATCTGTGTTTTTGTAGATAGTACCAGGTATGCTTTAAATAGCACTATAAAGATATCCTTCACTGAGAAGTACAACGATACAGAGCTATACATAAAGCCTGAATGTGAACCCCCACTTGCTCGGTGGCCTTGGTTCCAGCAGTACTTTTCCCATTAAATTTTTTCCATAAACATTTCAAATAAATTATTTAAACCTGAGCCGTGAACCAAAACAAGCAGCTCTGAGAAGAATCACTATATTATAAACTTAGTTTTTACGTCAAATGTAAAAAATCAAATAAAATCTTGTTTTTGAAAAAAAATTGTTGGTGCACATACATACATATGTGTGTGTGTGTGTATATATATATATATACACAATTTTAATCAATTTTTATTTTATTTTATTTATGAACTCCATTAAATCAGTATTAATTATTTGTAGGTTTTAGTCCATGTTTATTGCTTTAACGTCATTTATATGCTTATGTACTCCTAAAAGATGATAAACGGTTTAAATATTTACAGTCTTCTAGGAAAACAGACCAAAAATATTGATGACTTATCTCACCCTATAAGGGGCGTATACAAATATTTACCCAATAAAATACTCTCTCGAACCACCTGATTCCATTTAGCAATAGCAAATGACAAAAAAAGCATGGCTCATGTAAACTAAAGCCTATTGGCTATTTTAAAAAAAGCCACAATCCTTCTCTATGCCCCACCCAAACTTCCTGTCTCAATAGGAAATATATCAAGAAAGAGAACTGTGCATGCCACTGTTGCCACTCGGGTAGGTCTGTTTATATGCTATAATTAAAAATCAGTTTCTTTGATTGAAATTATACCTGTGGAACCCTCCGGTTGTGCTCCAGAAATGTTAAAAGTTAAACAGAGGCATAATTATTAAAATAAATTTTCCTCCTGTGAGCAGTTTCACATTGTGCCTGAAAACCTCGCTAGAGAAATAAGCCTGATTTGTTGAATCGTTTCTCCTCTTATGCACCGTACAACCCAGGACAGCATGGCCCCCAGCATGGGGCGTCCTGACCTGATCCTTTCGTGGGCCCGTAACGGCTGCCCTCC